GGGGGGGGGGGGGGTGTTCACAGCCAAAACTGCAGCTGTTCTCTTCTCAGTTATCAGGAGCCAAAGGGATCCCAGAGCAACAGGGTTTCCAGCAGTGAGTGTCACCCCTTGGAGTTGGAAGGTGCAGGTGAAGTCAAAGAAGGGTGGTGGTGGCAGGACAGGGCAGCCACAGGCTTCACAGTGAGCTTTCTCATGACACCTGGCCAGTCCCTGCAAGCGGGAAATGGGATTCTCTTGTTCATAAGCAGTATAAATCAAGAACACAGATCTTACATGTGGCACCATTCCTCCTCGAGATGTTTCAATCGTAGCCAAGAGGCTGTGCTTTTTCTGTGTAGGTGTGAGGAACTTACAGGGTCTAGGACGTGGCTGTAAACTTCTCATTTACAGAAGAAAAAAAGCAAATGAACCAACTGCTCGCTAATGATGACATGGAGAATGAGTCTGAGAAGAACAGAGGTGCGCTGTTTAGTTCCTAGCAAACTCACTTCAGAAATAGTCAGAAATGGCCAAAGGAAAATTGCCAGCACCAGAGAGGGATGGTTGTTACAGCAGGACAATCACCGATGGGAAGGCTTTCCCTCCCTAGGCCAGGCAGCAGTAAGAAGAAGGGTGGAGAACAGGGATCCAGGGTGCCAGCACCCAAGGACAGGAGCTGCCATCTGGGAACAGTTTGGAAAAACCAAAATGCATCAGAAGAAGGCTTGCCAGTACAAGTTTCCAGGCAACTCCACCCAGCTGCCCCTAATGCCCACAGGAGATATCAAAGCTCAGCACCTTGTGAGACCAGATCCTGTTTTAGCCCTCCATCACCCAGAGGGACAGGCAGGGCACGAGGGGCAGAAGAGTTTTCTGAACCTGCTGCTGTTATGCTGTGCTCATTCACAACAGAGTCAGGCTCCGGGTCTGCTCACAGCATTTTGGCCTGACTTCCTAGCTTAGCATAATGGTTCTTCTCAAGTTCAAAGCATCCTTTGGCCTGTCACTTAGTCATTACAAATGCATTTCTTATTTTCCTTCATAATGCAGTTACTGTAAGGTAGTCAGATATGTAGGACAACTTCCCTCTTTGGTTCTTGTTTTTCTGTATTTAAATAAAGTGTAATGCAATTTATGAAGTATTACATAGTAATTTTCCCTAATGGTTGCTCTAATAGATATCAGATATTTTCCATTGTTTCACAATTACATTTGTCTAAATAACCTTTCTTATTTTTCTGTAAAGGTAGCTCTGGGGATTTTTCTGATCCAGCAATAATAATTTATTGCTTTTTTGGTATTAGCCCCTTTTAGATAGCTTTTCTGCAAACAAGGTTTCTGTTCTTGGCTATGAACTCTTGAAACTTTCACTCCTTAAGTGGGATCTGACAAAATTAATTATTTGCTATCAAGCCCCAAACAATTATATTAAAATGAGTATTTCTCATGGGGTTTTGACAGCATTAACTTTAAAAATATTATCACTAGGAAATACCTGGTCAGTTAATAGTTGGTCGCCATTTTCCCTTATATATTGGATTAAGTAATTGCAGGTAAAATGCTGGCTGAACTTGACTGACAGTAACAGTGAAAAGAATGGTATAATTGTTAATCCTACCCCATTCCAGATGCAAAATGGTGTCAAAACATTGGTTGTTTTGCTTTTTTCTTGGTCTAAATTATTTATATTAGGATGAAGAAAAAATTGGGGCTTTTTTTCATAAATATCTAACATAGTTGTTTATAATCTCTCTAGAAGTCTTTTGATATCCACAGTGGAATGACTTAAAATAGGAAATAAAGATTTTATACCCTTGACTAGGTGACCAAGCTAAGGCACACACAGTTTTTTTCCAAACCATAGTAAACCCAATGTCTCAATTTTTCAATAATTGACATACTAAATCCTAAATACTTTGCTTAGATACAAAATCATGTCTCATAGCTGTTTCCTCACAAATTCCTTCAACACTTAATACTCCCACATTGGTATAATCATAGTTTGACACATCACTGAATTAACTGATTCCTTATAGTATGTAAATAAATGCTTTTATTTGAGCATTCACATTACTATCATTTTGTCTGCAGACTGCAAAATGCTATGTTCCATTTTATGAGTTGCCCAGCTGAGCTGTTACTCTGATGTGTTTCTTATGCCAGACATTTAGAATGAAAGAAGTGAGGACAGCCTTGGTAGCTTCCTTTCACAGATGAAATTCCTTAGTATACATCAATTAGATTTTATCCTGACAGAGGAGAACAATTTATTAAAATCTTCATCTGACCTTTACATCCATCACTAATGATTCCACAAGAAACCACTTCATTAGTTTAGCAGCACAAACTAGGACCTTGTTGCAATAATAAGGCAAAAAATAAGAAACATTTTCTGTACTCCACAGAGCTATTAAAGTATAAATTGCTCATGTGATTTATTGAATATTTGTACAACACCAATGAGAGGACAACATAAAGCAACACACCCAGAAAACAGGCATTGTTAACCTAGCATGAGAGAAGGGATTTGCAGTTATCTGGATGCATCCCTCAAGTTGCACATCAAACCATGGAGTGAACGGCCCCCTTAGCTCCTGGTTCATGACTTACAGTACAAGCCATGCATGAGGCAGGCTGACCAGAAAGCTGCCTCTGCAGCCCCAACACCTGAGGAAAGGAGAGGGTGATAAAGGAGTCTCCAGACCCATCACTTTCTACTGCATTGGTTTTAACACCAATAATAATGATTCAATGCTTTTCAAATTTCTGCTTGAATGGCAGTATTATCATCTGTATCAGTGCCAACTTCTACAGCTCCACAGGGGTGCAGGGACCACTTCTGGATCTACCTCAGAAAGCTCAGTCCACACACTGCAGGACTGATGGATGTACTGGGCACATAACAGCCATGTTATCAGGGGATGACACAGTCTGGATGGGTTTTGTATGGCATAGACAGTCTGTTTCCCAGAGTGGAAAGTTTATTTTTATCAGCATGTCCAGCACTGTAGGGCCATTAAGCAAAAAGAATCAGTGGGTACTGTCATAATGTCCCAAATCTTTGGTTCTACTTGTCTCATGAGTTCTTTACATGGGATTTAGACATATTTTTACCCTTTCTTTTGTCTTTCTCACACTAAAGCAATGCAAGTAAACCCATCATTTGAATAAATAAAGTCTGGCAGAAGGAGAAAGTCTTAATGAAGGATCTGCAGCTGCAGGGCTGGTTGAAATGTGGTGATGTGGGTGCCAGCTGGCCAGTCTTTCCCTCACATAAGTCTGAATGAACAGGCAAACTGCAAGCTCTGCATCACACATCAATACTAAGTGACACCCAAGAACGGTACAAAATTACAGGTCAATAGCCTGGAGCTATAAAGGGAAATAAGAACTAAGGGAAGAAGGTAGTAAAAGCAGTGACAGGAAATGAAAAGGAAGATTCAGAGTAGGAAAAAACTATGTATTATATTATTAGCCAAAAATTATTTTGGTAGAATTACCATTCATTATTTTTTAATACATTTATTCCTCTTGAAAAGAAATTTTCCAGATTCTCCTTCTCTCTGAAATAAATTATGAACTGTAGGCAAGAGAAGCTGTATCACTTCCAGTGTGTCTAGTTACACTCAGTCCCAATATACAATAGCATTCAAATACCTTCTTTTCTGCCATGCTTGAAGAGTACTACAAAGCATTCCCAGTCTGATTGCAAAGTCAGCCAACAGTGTCCTGCCCATGCCTGGGGAATTCTAAGTCAGTTCAGGAGAGCTAGGAGGAACTGGCATGGGTTTGGCTCATAGGTCTGTAGGGAAATGACATGATGGGGGGAAATTTGCTTTGCTTGGTGGTGTCAGAAATTGAGAAAGGAGAGAAAGGCAGCTCATGAGGGAACAGAGACCTAATGCAAGAGAACTGTGAGTCACTCACACATGGGCTGCAGAATCTGGGGAGGGCTCTTTCCAAGAAATTGCTTTCCAAGCAATGGCCAGTCTGCAGATCTGCGGCCCCAGAGTGAGCCCACGCCCACACAAGGGCCAGCCCCACATGCATACAACGCACAGGGAGCAGTGGGCATGAAGAGGGACTGGGTAAGGAGTGCATCTGCAGCATGTTGAAGAGGGGCTCAGGCTTCAGTGAGAGCAGTGGGCAGTCTATCATATCCAAGGAGTTACACGTCTGCTGAGCTTGCATTGACAAAATGAATCTGTTTGGTTTCATGGCAGACCAGAATGAAGAGATGTCTGAAATCAGTGAGTCCTTAGAATCTGTGTCACTCACTGATGCCTCAGCAGAGGAGGCCACACAAGGCTCTGATGCTGACCTAGAGGTCGAAGGTGAATGTTTGTTGACATCTGCCCTCACTAGCCTTGCCCCTTACAGAGCTGTACCTACCAGCTGGTATGTATCCGAAATGGAGACCAAGGACACAACCCTGCCAGGGTCCTGACAATGACAAGTAATCTGGAAATTGATAAAGTCAGGGGGTGGGGGGAATGAATTTCCCTCTAAGAACTCTCCCTTTGATGTCAAGCATCTTCCTTCAACTGCTTTCTATACACCATGGCTATTCTTTTGTTCCTTCTTCTCTCCTCTACTCCTTAATAACCAACACTACCAGACCAGCCTGCTGTCTGGGCAGCAGGAGCAGCTAGCTGAAATCAGGGATGGGACTGAGGCCCTGTCTGTGTGCGCCTGATGAAACACTGCATAGCAATTGTGGTCTGCGTACCATAGGTTTGCTATAACTGTCCTAGACTTTTCTGGTGGCTCTCCTCTTATCTTCTGCCTAGTGAAGTCAGTCCGCTGGCTAAACAAGTCTTGCACTCATTTTTGTAACAGTAGAATTTTTCCATAATTTAGGATGAGAACTTTTTAACTTGTTAAAAATGGAAACAAAATCAAAAACCATAAGAACGCAAGAACAAAAGACTGTTTTGTTAGAGGTCTCAGCTTGAACTGGAAGATGGCTTTGATGAGAGGGGAATTTGTCTTGAGGTCAGACCATTGAATGCATATAACAACATGGAGAAATATGAGCTCTAAGTATGGGGTTTGATGAAGGAATTCCAAATGACAGGCTTTTGTGGAAATACAGCCGTCAGCTGCACTGATATGTCTCACTGCAGCTGTGTCAACAACACCCAATGGCCAAGATGAGAATGCTGGGATTCTTTCTGCTGGTTGTAAGCCAAAATGTTCTTAGCTGCCCTAGCTCTGCTGGCAATATCAGCTGTGTGCTTCAATTAAGATTTAAAAAAAAAAAAAAAAAAAAAATTAAAATGTTTTTGCTTGATGTCAAAAATTCTCAGTTACACCAAGAAAGGTTTAGTCACATTGCAGACTGGTGAGAAGCTGCAGCAAATCACTGGATGCCAAATAGAGAAGAAAAGAGGATACATTAAGTCTTGGGATAAAGGGGTGGGGACAACCAGGGGATGATAAGCCTTTAAGAGTAAAACCTTACTGTTGTTGCATAGTGTTACTTAATTTTATTAAATTACTTTATTTAAAGGAGGAGGGAGGACACTGAATGCAATATTCATCAATACACTTTTTCTCTGTAGATCCTAAGAAGGCCTTTGCAGACATTACGGGTGCAGAGCTGTACTTGGAAGCATGCAGGCTGATGGAGATGGTGCCTGTCTCACACTTTATTCAGAACTTGGCCTTATATAAACCTGAACCACCATGGTCTAGGACCCAGAGGTGTCAAAGCCATTGCTATTGCTCTGGTGGTGAGTAGCCAGTAAGAGTGGGGCCACTGTTCTCAAGCACAGTTGGCATTTTAGGTCTCTCTCAGGCCTGGAAGCCATCACTGAGTACACAGTGTGGAAGAAAAAGTCATGTATCCTCCCCATAGGAACTCTGAGCATCCCTAATGTTTCTAATCCCCTGCACAGCAAGTCTTATGTGGCAACTGATAGCCTTTACTGGAGTTACACCCAAGAGCAAACTGATGCTCTTCTATGGGAACACAAGTCCCCAATACTCCTAACCCCTACAGGGCCAGAGGTAAGGCTGGAGGGGTTGGTATCCCCTACTCTGGGTTCTGCATAGGGATGTGCTACACTCACCAATGGACAGGCCCAAGATGGGTTGGAGCTTTCATCTGAACCTGGGTCTCCAGGCTGGCAGAAAGCAGTGGAAAGTCCTACCCACTCAAAAACTCTCCAAAAAATAAACTTCTTTATATGCCAGTTCCCACTGCCATGGTTCTGTCATGTCCCCTGATCACTCTCCTGCTCCTGACCTGCAACGCTTTCTGAGGTTTGGAGGAAATGTCCGGTGTCTGTTGAGGAAATTATCCCCTTCATTCACTTTTCAGCAGTTTTTGGTGTGTCTTTATTTACCTTTGTGTCTTCCCAGTCCAACGCAACCATCACCCACCTAGAGTTAGAAGACAACTGTATTCTGGCAGAAGGAGCTGTATCCATAGCAGAGATGCTATGAGAGAATTCCTCCCTTCAGGAACTGATACCCAATCTGACATAGTTTGTAGCCAAAATTATTGCTCACCAAGTCAAATTATCTGAAAGAAAACCAATTCATTCTATTACGATTTTAATGAAATAACCATTGTTCCCATGCAAAAACATTCATATTCTGAAAGTCATGATATTTTATGCTCCTCTACTTTTTAAAAGTACAAGGTTCTGAAAAGCAGAAGTGTGCATGTGATAGCAATCTAGCGAGTCTGGAACTGTTCTCTTCATTAGCAGATGTGACAGTAATTACCATAACTAAGTCTTTCTAATTCATAGCCAACAGAAAAAATGTTTTGGTCATGAACTTTCATTCTCCAATATGACATGGGGAAACTTTTCTAAATAGATTAAGGGAATAATAAAAAACTTTCAGATATTAACTGGTAGGAATGTTCTTTTGATCTGAAACTGGGGCATACAAAATGCATTTTGATAGGCCATGGGATCTGTGTTACACTGGAAGAAAAGCTTCTTGCCCAAATGCCTCTAAGTTCACTGAAGACAAAGACTCATGTCAAACTGACGGCTCTAGGGCTTTATTCCTGTTAGGATGGATGCAGGGTTAAACATACCTATAATGCACATGTTAATCACTGTCTGGCTGACATTTCTCATATTGCTCATCTTGCATTATTCCCTTGATATCTTGGGCATTAAGGACAATAAAGCTGATTAATTCTTTGGACTCATCCTTCTTATCCTCTCTTGTTTTCTTTAACATCTCCAATAACCACTTAGACAAGCAGGAGCTGAAGCCATTGCCAGTTTGCTTATGGATAACATGTCCTACCTTCATGCTCTTCAGCTCTCAGGTAGGCTGTATCCACCCAAAGAGTGATGGCAGTGGAAGTGAAATAACATGTGTTTCATTCCAGTCTCTCATCCTGAAAATATTAGTCACATTATGGGCAAAATCAATCTCTCAGCTATGTCTCTGATAGAAACCTGAGTAACAGTGGAAATCTAGATTTATAGTGATGTGATTAAATATTTGGCCTGCTCAACCTCCAGCACCTCTGAAAACCAGTCCCTTATGAGAAACTTAGATAATTGCTGGAGTGTCTCCCACATCTTGGAGTAATTCTACTCTATGGAGCAAAGTGGAATAGTGACTAATTTACAGCCAGGTATGGGCTGTGATTAACTGGAGGTTCCAAGCAAAAGCACAGCTTCCTGCAGACCCCAGAACAGCACCAAGGGAGAGATCAGCACACTGTTAACAAACTTTTCTTCCCCAGGAAACAACTTTGGAGAGGACACTGCACCATACTTCGCTGAGGCATTAATGGTGAGTTACCTGAAATCCAAGGTCATCTGCAGCTCTGGCTGTGTAACAGACTCTCCTCATCTTGAAACTACTACTCACTTGGCATGATTTCACTTGGCAATGCCCATATGATTTCCTGGCATAATTCTGCTAAGTGCTTTTTGCTTATTTGGGAAATGAAAGAGGCTGGGAGGACACAGAGCAGGATGGACTGTGTTAACATTTTCTCAGGACAGCTGCGTGACTCTGGCTGAGAAACAAACCTTCAGGACTGTGTAACAGAACAACAGAACAACATCTGGGTGACAAAAAATTTTCAGGAAGCATACATAACCCAACTTCATATCATTTTGCAATTCTCCAATAAAAATAAGACACTTTAATTATCTGGTTAGTTCCTGTCTCAAAACCTCTGCATCATTTGGCACCACCAGAAGCTGCCCTGAAGCAAGGCCTCGACCTGATACCAGAAACTGCTCTTGGTCAGGGTACAATGGTGGGAGTGAAACAGGGGCAGGAACAGAATTGCAGGATGTGTTGCAGGCCAGGCATGAGCTGTGTGAAGGAAGTTTGCACTACACAGTGTCATTGCTTTTGCTGTTTTGGGAAGATAATCACTGTGATATTATATGATCGACAAAGCTTTGTTCTGGAACATGCAGAGCCACAATCCCCATGTTGATGATCTCCCATGCACTGAAGATTTCAGTGTATCTGATATCTCTATTTCATCCACATGTGGGGGCCTTGGCATGGCATCTGGTTGCAGCTGGCTGGAAGATCTCATTGTCTCTACACATTTGTCTCTCTGTAGGGCAATTACCAAGTGAAGAAGCTGGACCTTAGCCACAATGAGTTCTCTAAGCACGGAGGACAGCTCCTGGGACTGACACTCAGTAACTTAATTTATTACTCCAACAAAGATAGGAGTACAGGCACTGGGGACTTGATGGCATCAGCACAGTGAACATATATTTCCTTCTCCAGCAAAAATGCCCCATGACCCGGTGGGTAGTACAAAAGATGGGGTGCTCAGATTTAGAGCTTCCTGTATGGTCCACAGTCTCACCCTCATCACCATAGGTGATGCAGAACACAAGTGCAGGTTGTGAAATCACAGTAATAGAGCAGTCTGTGTCAGAGAGAAGGGAGCTGAAAGAGAAGTCCATCGGGGGTATAAAGGGGGAAATTGCATTTTACTAAAATCTAAAATCTAATTAATTTTTTTTAAGCTTTTGATTTCAAAGGTCAGGAGTGATTTCAATTTTTCTTAAGTAGCCCAAACCCTAATGTTTTGATCCATTGCACAGCAAGCAACAAGGGAAACAGATTAGGAAGAAATAAAATTAAGCTGCCTTATTTATCTGTTCAGACTAAGTGAGATCCAGAGTGTGCTAGTAGTCCTGGAGAGGGAAAGCAGACAAAACAGTTACAGTCTTTCAGTAATCTCAGGTGCTATTACTGCATTGGGAAAGACTTGCATGAATATCTGACAGCTCTTCTTTCCACAGTATCTGCAACATACCTGCTACCATAATGGCCACAGGCACGTGCTATAAGCATCCAGTGTTCCTCGAGTATTTCAATAACACATTGCCTTCAGTTTAATTAATGCTTTCCTTCTCCTGGTTCAGTATTTCCATTGATATATATCTCTTTCTAATTACAGTCCATGTCTTTAAAAGATGATCAGTTAAAACTGCAGTGAGGACAAGGCACTGTGCTCCTGCCTTGGACAAGCCTGCAGGCAACACAGAGATCAGTACTAAAACTTATGACCTTCCTAGCCCAGAAAAATACCTCTCCAAAATTAAAGGTTTTACAGCTCTTCTCTCCTTCCAGCTCACTTGAGGCAGAAGCAACAGAGATTACTGCAGAATCTGTTACTTTTCTGTTTTGTTTCTTAAAGGAATATTTTTAAGTCAGTTAAACTCACCATCTGCCTCCACCCAACCTCCCATCCATGGAAAATCTGGATAGAAATTCTCTCTGAGAATGAAAAGCAAGTGTTGGCAGCAAGTTCTACCCCTCCCAATGTCGCAGTAGACACAAATGAATTCACACATACCCCACTCTAAGTAGAACTTACACCATGAGGTGTGCTATGCATGTGAATTGGCACTGGCACACATACAGCTGGGCACAGCTACCATATGAAGCTGAATTCCTCTCTTCTGCTAATCAAATGTACACAGAGTGAGTCTTGATATTTTAGATGTGGCAAGGAGAATCCAGCCATTTTTCACAGTGCGAAAAACAGTGTCTATTAATATAAGAAATCCTCCCCCTCTCTACCTTCCTCCTTCATAATTATTCTTTGATTAAGCCAGGAAAAAACCTGTGTTCCCTTTCTGCTTGTTATCAACAGCCCATTCTCTGTTCTTTGGGTGTTGTGGACAGCAAAGACTCTGTAGGTACAGGTTCCTCCTATGGCAATCAATGAAGGCTGCTGATGAACTCCCAGCAAACTTTATCTTAGTCCCTAAGTGGGTCAGCAGCTGTGTCCAGACCACTCTTCATGAGCTAACATCTCAGTTTCTCTCTCCTAGCCAGCAACACAACACTGGAGACTCTGGACCTCAGTTGGAACCACCCGAGGAGGAAGGGGATAAGTAGCACTGGGCACAGGTCTCAGGGTAGGAAAGCCCTGTTTTGTGATACCCTTCACAGTGATTATTACCAGGAGCTGGTTGAAACACTGATCAGGATCTTGCATCCCTGAGGTCTGAGAAGGATTCAGTAGTTCTAGCATGGCTCATTCTACTAACATGGATGTCAGCACCAGGAGAAAAACTAAAGCAGCAAGTAGGTGGGGTGACTTAACATGGTGGAGAGATCCTGGTGACATTGCAGAAATATTGGATTCATTTTGGCTGCCTAGATGTGACTTGAGGGATGCTCCTGTCTCAGCCAGGCAAGAAAGGGTGGAGTGGTACAGAAGATGGACATGCAGTAGCTAAGAGCCCTCTTCTCTGCCTGAAGGGTAATGATGCACTGAAAATACTCAACCTTTCTTGGAATGGCATTGGCAACAAGTGAGCACTGGCCCTAGGAGAAGCTCTCAAAGTCAACAACGCACTGGTTCACCTGAACATCAGTAACACCCAAATCAGCAATGACGGAGACAAGAAGCTCTGCAGGGGCCTTGAAGTCAATAGAAATCTCAAAATTTTGAAGGTAAAATAAAGCCAAGCAGGGCTGGAGGAATAAACAGAGGAAGTAGAAAGATCTTAGTCAGGCAAGACAGAAGACACAGGTGAGATGCCTGAGCTAGAACTGGAGGAAATGGGTATTGCTCTGGGTTGAAGGTGAGCAGAGCGGAAGGAAATTCTATCCCGTGCATTTCTTCCAGGACAACTAAATTGCACTGTTCCCTCAAAAAATCCCCCAGGGACCGGCTTGGCATAGCCCCACACCCATTATCATCCCAAAGTGGTTGATACCTGTCATGTCTAGTCTCAGTCAAGTGAGAACCTAGGCATTTAGTGTGTCTAGCAGAGAGCCTAGGCATTCAACAGATCTGCATATATACATAAAATGTAGTTTTGAAGGTACATATGTACACCTAACATGCATTTCAACATAAGGCAAAAATTCACACTGAAGCTTGCAGGTGGGCAAGACTGTGCCTTTCTCAGTGTGTTAATGATTTGCTAAAAATTTACTCAAAGACGGGATCAAATGTCATTGCCATATCAGAGCAATGCCACAGCACTACCTAAAGGAGTGGGGTATTATCAAGTCCTGAACAAAAAAAAAAAAAAAAAAGCCAAAACTGCCTTCTAGTAAACTAGGGATTAATAATCCTGGAAAGGGCAAAACTGAATGACCAGACAAGCTGGCTTCAGAGGTTAGGCATGAGAGCTAACATGTCTTCTCAATCCAAGATCATTCTCTAGGAATTCAGCTCAGAAAAGTCAACTTGCTTATGAGCTGCATTCTCAGCTAGATCTAACATCACCATCCTGAGAGCGTTCAAATGGCAGTATGGTGATTGACATCTTTAAAGCTGTTCATGTAAGCCTGTCTTTGGACACCCCTGTCCTTGTAAACCACTGCAACTACAGAAGTCTGTGGTACTGCTTGTTTAGATGATGTAAGTAAATGCATCTGTTTGCCTTGCTCTTAACCTGGCTTGAGGTAAGGTTGCTAGCTTAGACCAAGGCATTCCTCTCTCTGTGCAGCTGCACAGGTTGTTTTAGAAGCTGATAACAGAAAGGACTTAATTTGAAGAAGGACATGTCTTCTGCTGGCCAATGTTAACCAAGAAAGTTCTTTTTCAAATGGTGGGAGTGGAAACTGCACATGAAGTCCAAGATAGGGAAGAGGTAATGTTCACACACTGAAATGCACATGACAAAGCCAACCCTGTAAGGCCAGATAGCCTTGTAGGCCAGAGGCAGCCAGTCAGTCTGAGCTCTTACCTGCTGTGCTGCCAAGAGGAGCTGAGGGTATGGGAAATGTCCGAAGGGGCATACCCCCATGCAGAGGGACCCTACTAGCAAGCACACATTCAAATGCAGCCCGTTGCCTCAGCCTTTCCCCATCACATGAGTGAACATGATCCACATCACATACACCTGTGTGACAGACATAAGGGACCTGATATGTAGAATTCCACACAAGGAGACAGAAGCTGAGAAGGCAACTCCACTGAGAAGTAGCATTGCAATTTTGTGGGACAGAGACCAGAGATGGTGAGATAGCAGACAAACCCATCAAAAAGGGCCACAGCTATTGTACAGCCCTGCTGAAGAATGGGAAGAAAGGGTCATCCTTGAGGTTACAGCATGCCTTCTGCCAGGCATGAAATCCTCATTCTCACCATGTCTGGATCTATGTCTATTCTTCCACAGATGGCAAATAATTCCCTGACCATGGAAAGTGCCACTGTGCTAGTCACATCTGTCAGAAAGAACCCCAAATCCATGATGGAGGAGATCAACATCTCAGTAAGAGCTTATGTGCTGGAAAGCCTCTATGACCATACACTATACTATACATTTTGAGGAACTGGGTGGATCACAGAGCTTCCCCCTTTCAAAACTGTTTTGAGACTTGCTGTTTGTTTCAGTTATGCACAGCCAATAGTAAAAAGAGGCTACTAGTTAACAGCCTTTCTAGGAGCCTTGTGGAAATTCTAGGGCTTTGGTCTAGCTCTGGAGAGAAGTGCCTGTAGTATCACCACATTTTGCATTTCCATTTTGCAATAGCAGAACAAGAACAAGAAGTAAATTCCCACTGGAGGAAGAATTCTTTTCAAGCCCTGAGCTGTCTGCCTCCAGGGTAGCCTAAGATGCTAGATACTGTGAAATGCTTTGATACCCTGTCAGTATGTATGAGAATTAGAAAATAGATGTTCAAGGCATTGAAACAAAGCAATTTTATTAAAAACAAACAAAAAAGACCCCAAACAAAAACAATAACAAAGCCAAAAAAATTAAAAGACTGGTGTAGAAGGAAAAAAAAATCTAAGAGGCCAAATCTTAGTATGCTACTCTGTAGCGAGTCAGGAGCAGGCCACCTATTGTTGTAACCACATGCTCTGCTTCTAAAATGGGAGCCCCAGAAATGCTTCTTGGCTCCTGAGTGAGGGAAGAGTTTGCATTGCAGATCAATGCTGTGGAGAGACCTGGGCACATATCAGTCCACTCCCAGCTTTCCCATCCATGCATTTGTGCATCATGGGAGCAGTTACAGGTGGTGTCAGAGGCCTTAGGACCCTCCATCCACCTTTGGGAGTACTATGATTAAAGTGAAGAGCATTTTCATGAAGATTAGGTCTAAGACTTGGAACATAAATAACATGTTTACATTTGAAACAAGCTAAAAAAAAGTTCATGGACAGTTTTGGAAACTCACATAGTGAGTTGTATCTAAGTTACATCTGCATATGTTTCTTTGTCCTATGGCTATGGTATTAAAGAAAGAAACTAAAATGAAGCAGAGTAAATAATATTCATCTATGGTCTTTTCTGAGAGTATCAAGGGCTTTCAACAGAAATCATCTGAAGAACAGGCATTCCTCTAGGGCAGACAATTTTTATGCATAAATTAATATCAAAGAGAATTATTTGCCAAGTCTGTAAGGAGTCAGGCCTCATTCTGCAAAGGAAAACTAAAATGAGCTGTGTGAGGGTAAAGGACTTTATTACAGTATACATAGTTCTGCTAGTTTTATAACTAATAACTAATAGGTTACTAATAACCTAAACAATTCATGAACTTGGAAAGAGTAATGTATTTTAGCTAAATTCTGAGAAATTAAATTATTTAAATGCATTTATTTAAAATGAGGCACTCAAGAAATTTTGAGACAAGGAGTTAATTAACTTTAAGGAACTTTAATACAACATAAATCTTATCATGAATTTCTGCTTTTTAGGTTAACAGATGCTCTCTTCACCTCACCCCTCAGAAAGTCTAAATTACCTGGTATTTCACAAGATAAATGGTCAATGGCATAAATCTACAATGACATTTCAGTAACCCAATCAAATGATTGTAGGCAAACATCTAATCTGTCTGACAGACTTCATTCCACCTGTGATGTAGGTAGTCTTGTATTTCAATTCAAAGTATTGGCAAATATACAGCTCCAAAGATCTTACATTGTCTTAAACCTTTAAGAAATTAGTAAAGATTTAAATCTTTTATAGGAAACTTAACAGAAGACCTAAGCAAAAGCCTCTTCTGCCCCTTTTCCCAGTGACAAATGCTTATCTTGACTTTTAAAGAATGAATAATTAGTGTGTCTGTAAGAGGGATTTTGAATAAGGATCATACCTAAAAACCTTTGCATGGGTTTGACAGCACTAGCAAAGGTGAAGCAATAGAAAGGCACATTTTTAGCAGTTTATTGCTTCTGATGACATTTCTAAGCATGACTGTTCCCCACATTCTTTTCATAATCTACTCTTCATAGGGTTTTAACTTGCAGATACTGAGAATCAAACATTTTAGAGAAGTCATGAATCAAAATAGCCAGCACATGCCCATCGTCACCAGAAAAGAAAATACTGTTGCTTTTCAGCTGTCCGTGTTGTCTTTCTGGGCTGTGAACTGACTGTGACAAACATGCAGAAATGCACAAGCTGACTCCCTCCAGGTCCCACCAGACCCCAGCATGGTTTGTTAAGTCAGAAGTGGTGCTTTGGCTGCGCTGCTTCTGAGGCCTCACTGGCAGCCCACTGGCTTTCTCATGGGGTCAAGCCCAGGCTGGCAAGCCTTGGAGAGAGCTGGCAGCCAGCAGAGCCAGCTTGGGCTCTGCTGTGCTGTGTTCCCAGGACTAGGACACCCTGCTAATGTGCATAGTGCAAGGATGTCTGAATGGCTTCTTCAGAGAGTCACTCTGCATCCATAAAATCACAGCTGGTAAACCCAGCCAGACCCAGACTCATCCAAGTCTGTCTTTGAGTGCTAACAGTGAAGAGTTCACTGCACAGTAAATCATAAGGTTCTAGATGGATCTTAAGCTTCTAAAAAGAATCTATAGGAATGTACTGAGAGACTTTATAAACAAACTTTATGAAAATATAAAGTGCTTGATGCCTTGGGAACCTCCTGCAATGACAGAAAACAGAAGTTTTCATTAATTTCCCGAACTGCCTTGAAATTTCCAACAATTAATTATATAACCAACATAATACATGAACAATTCCCCTGTCATCATGGGTATGAACAAAATCATAATCATGTTTTTAAAAGATGAGTAAGGGTAAAGGCAAATTTGTCATAACTTAAATTCAGAATCATGGAATGATAGAATGGTCTGGATTGAAATAGACCTTAAAGACCATCTAGTTCCAACCCCCCTGCCATGGGCAGGGACACCTTCCACTAGACCAGGTTGCTCAAAGCCTCGTCCAGCCTGGCCTTGAACACTTCCAGGGATGAGGCATCCACAACGTCCCTGGGCAACCTGTTCCAGTGCCTCACTATTCTCACAGTGACGAAATTCTTCCTTACAGCTAAGCTAAATCTACCCTCTTTCAGTTTAAAGCCATTACCCTTTGTCCTATCACTACAGGACCTTATAAACTACAGTGGCATTAATAATATTTGCATTGATATCTTACTTCCTAATATCTCAGAACCCTGAGTCAGGACACTGTGCTGCTGCTGCCCATTCTGTAAGTGCTAAAACAGAAAACTCACAGTGTGAGCTCTGAAATGCTGAGCTATCACTACCCTGTTTGAAATTCTTAGGAAAAAAACAAATATCAGGTCTTATACTGCTGACTGGAGCTTCCCATTAGGGTTACACAATGAAACAGAGCTTTACCAAATTTTTTTTTTACCTGAAGGCACTCTGACCCTTCCCAGATAGATTAATCTTTCTTATTTGAGATATAAAGCTACATTGCTGGAGATCTTAATCATTTTAGGCCTTGGATGATTTTTTTTTTTCTCACTTTTGCAGAACTCTGGCACATTTTGGCCATTAACTGTTCCACTTGCAGCCCACATCTGAACTGAATGAAGAGGAGACCCATCTAGAACTGTCTCAGTTGAATCACTTGAATCACCTAACGTGAGGTCTTCAGTGTAGACATTTACCTGATTAATTAAACTAATTTCTATGTAAATTGGTAGACTCTTTCATGTCTCAGACATGGGAAAAGAGAAAGAATACTTATTTTGCGTCAGGCCTCCATGGGATTCCTGAAAGTGATGAGCAGAGATAGGAAAAGGTACCACCCTTAGGAGAGAATTGTTAATGTTGTCTTTAGACGGATTGTGAATACAAACAAGTATTTGCCGTTCTTTGGATGTCTACACTGACTGTACTTTCCTTTCTCCTATGTACCAGAATGTGTTGGCAAATGAAGCTTTCATCAAGTTGCTGGATGCAGTGTGTCAAATGCATCCTGAACTAGATGTCATCTATGGTGAGGTCGAAGGATTTATCACTACAATTCCCAAGCAACGTCCAAATCCCATGAAAGTGATTCAGGTGAGCTACTGAATTTAGGTTCATAGATCCCCTGTACACAGTACACATGATCCAAGCACTTGGAAGGATAGAGGTTGAGGGGTAAGCTTTCTTCCAAGTGGGAAATTCAGCCAATTTCCATCAGAAAAGTATATTCACAAAGACTGTCACAATGTTCACATATCTCAGTCCACACAGACTGACTAAGCAAATCCTTTGATTTTTGAGGAGAATCTAATGCCTTGGGATCTGAGAGGACTGGGAGAAAAAAGAATCTTGAAGAGATGCTTGCTCGCTGTGTAAAACAAGTTGATTGATTTTAGGTCTGATCCAAATGAGTATCCATCCTCATCAAAAGTCCACCAAAACAGCTGACTTTCATAGAATCTGTCACTGATAGTTGTGCTTCAGCATCAAAATTAATGTGCTTCATAAAAGTAGGATATGGTATTACAAGCAAATACAGTCACAAATTACATCGCTTTTCAAGTTCTGTAATTTCTACGGATAGCAGCAGATGGTGCTGTCATCCTTGCTGGAAGGCAAGGCAAGCACTTGAGCATTGCTGAGCTAAATAACACTTTGCACTACCAGCTTCACTGTGTTTCTTAGCTGCTGTGCAGATTTTCGGGTAATTGGGTGAGACTTTGCTGTAGATGTGGATTCAGATGAAGTTAAGCAAAAGCATGGGCTGTTAGCTCACATCAAACAGTGCTGCTGTGCTTCACAGCTAGTGACGCTCACACTAGCATGCTTTGCAGTTTTTAACAGACATTACAGTACTCAGATGTGTCCTCATTCAAACAGACGGGAATTCAGAGAAGACCAACTAAAGTGATCAGAGATCTGGGGAAGAGGACTGTCTCTGGATTAGACAGCCTAGCCAAGCAGTGGCTTCTGGGATGAGGACCAAATAACCAAATGCAATTATCAGAAGAAACAGGTTTACTACTGTGTTCGTTTCAAGGTAGCGGGAGAAGGAGGTATAACTGAGAAGAATGGGATTAACCTGAACAAAAGGATTTTTTTTCTGACAGTAGAGTGGCTGCACAAGGAGTTAAGGACTCATATATTTCAGTGATAGGCTGAGTAAAGGCAGGGTAACAGATGGAAGAATAAGGTGAAAGCTGGAGGCAGGTATCAGTGGCTGATTCATGATTATGCCCATGTTTTATCTCTGCTTCTCTTAGAACTACATGAAAGAACACAACTTACAACTCTGGGACTTCTTTAGGAATATTGACAGGGATGGATGGAAACATGAATATCCCTATGGCAGGCTTCCAGAGAGCCATGATGCAGGTGTGCCTCTGAAAGCACAGCCAGGATGCTCTTCTGGCAGGGTACTGGTCTAGAGAAACCCCTCTGCTGCAGCACAGCCACCAGCCAGCCTTGCTGGTGACACTGTTCACGCTAAAAGGCTAAATTGCAAAAGTTGAGCCCTGAATGTGACCAACAGAAATGCTATGACATCCAGTAAATACTGCAGATGGCACTAGTGATAATGGATCAACTTTAGAATATCACAGAGGTCTGCTGTTTGTATAGGATATACAGGATCTTGATAGATACTTATGTTTCACTGCTATGGGAAAGTGAAAAACAGGCATTGCCTCTACACACTGAGTAGACAGTTCTCTTCCTGCCAAAACCACCATGGTGCTTGGGATCAAAAGCAATGGTCTGCCAGCCATGATGCTTTTTTACAAAAAATGCAAAAAAATTTCTTCTTTTTATGCTAAAGGAGTGAAAATGCCTCCCCATCACCACTCTGGATTTTTTCCATTCCTTCCTCCATGCACCAGGCCATCTGTTCACCTATTTAAAGATGGCCAGGCCCCAGTCTGATATGGATGATTTTTCTGCGTAAAAATACCCAGGTTTGCTAGCATTTGTGTTCTCCTCTTAGCAACCAAACATCCCACTGGATCAAGTCCAAATTGGGGAACTAGTGCACAAGCTAGACCAAAATCGGACAGGGGTTGTGGACTCCAGGTGAGTGACTCCACTTACTGTCCTGGCTCATCCTTCTTTTTTGATTTGACTCAACACCAAATAAACATCATCTTATTTACCTTAAAAAGTGAAGGGACATATGTTTTTTGGCCAGTCCATTACCTACCTAAGTAAAAGGTAGATTAAAAAATATGCTGAGAAGCTCTGTTGAGTCAAACTAGAAGTCAGTCTTCTTTTTCTGTTTGATCAACTTGCTCTGAGAGTGCAGGGATCTCAGAACTGAATGACAATTTCATTCATTCTCCTAAGCCTGTGTGAGATGAGATAATCAGCTCAACACTGTCCTCCCCCTGAAGCCAGGGTAAGATTTGCAAAGACAGCGTATCTGTGCCTTCAGACCTTTTCTTCCATCCTCAGGGACTCTCAGTTTTTGTCCTTCCCTCAGATCCCTCTTCTTAGGAGACGTCATTTTCCCTGGAAACCCACTTTCAAACTACAGAACTTTTCATTCTCTTGAAAGTGCTTCTTCCTTAGTGCCTGTAGCAATCATGTCCAAGTTCTGAGAGCCTGAGCAGTCAGCAACAAACTCCTCAGAGGTTGTCAGTTGCTGCAGGCTAAACCACTTGTCATTGGACCCAAAATTCCCCCTAGATTTTCAGTCATTTCTGACATGTGACTCATCAGCTGAAAGTCCTGTTAATCATACCCAAATATTTCCATCCCTCAGCACATACTGATGGATTTAAATATATACTGTAGTCTAGTTTTAAAGCTAGAAGCAATGGGACAGTTTTGCAAATCTCTTCCCTCTCAGCCTCCTAACGTTTTCAGAGAAGCAAATTATTTTGTTAGGTCCAGTCATTATTTCTTCACATATAATGGTGCTGTGCTAAAAGCATCCATGCTCAGATGCTAGATGGGCCTTAGACTGGTTAATCTTGAATCAGAGGTTACATGGGCTTCCCATGTACTTTAGGCACAAATTACAGAACTGTGGTTAAGTAGCAAGCAGATTAGGAACTGTTGAAACCCAATGGCTGGCAAAGACTTAATTTCGTGCTATTAATGCATCTGAGTTGTTTGTGGGAAAAAAATAGATGTATTTCTCCTTATCTGGCTTCTTAATTCATTTTAGCACTATAGCACATGCGGTAGTGGTAATATTCACCTTGTACACAAGAGTGAGAAGAGTTGTGACCTTTGCTGTCCTTACTATTCCCACCTTGGGATGCTTCCTCAAGGTCCTCTCAACAGCTTTAAGATACCTGACAGGGAAGATTCAGTGTACTACATTAATACTGGTTCACCTCTTTCCTTTTAATCAGTCACTTAAAAGAACAGAAGCTCTCACAAAAGCCTGTGGAGGGGGAAGTCAAGGAGCAAGAGAAGGAAGAGACATAAAAATTAAGAAAGGAGGCAGGTCAAACAGTAAAAGATTGTATGAGAAACACTGGAAGAAAGCTCAGAGTGGCCCTGGGCTTGGGGAGGCCCAACACTGGGGAGTTCTGACAGTTCAAGTTACTGAATGTAGAAATAAAGTTGATGTTCCACTACACAGCAGGTCCCTATACAGTCTGATCCTTTGGTTAAGGAAAGATTGGTTCTTTGGAACTGGTTACCAAATCTGTCTTACCCTGTATGCTGACAACACTGAACTTATTTGCAAAGACTGAGACAAAAAGTGGGAAATGGGAAACTAAGACACTCATATATTTTTACTATTCCTTTTTGAGGGAGAGCACATGGACAAAGACTGAAGCAAGTGTCCTGCAGACACACCCTACCAGACTTAGCAGTTCTGACACAGGGACCTTTACAAGAGGAGAAAAATTAAATTAATGAGAAACTAATCTCATGTTGCTTAAAAACTTATGGGTAACAGGAACTTTATTTAATATGTCCATGGGAAAAAAATATGCTAGAAGTATGGAAACCATAACAAATTTTAAGTGGCTTAGATACTGAGCTGCTTTTTTAAAACCAGCATTTAAAAAAAGATATTTCAACAACTCTCAAGAAGGAATGAAAGTTTTGCATATGTGAATATTTATAAATAAATAGAATTTAGAAATGTCAACATGTACAGATGAGCAGATCCACAGGAAGTACATTTTGCCATGTCAGCAACTGCCAACATAGACTATGCACCAAGAACCCTGGAGAACTGGGAGGGAAATGTTAGCCACTTTGGGAAGGCCAGCCTTCAGTGGAAAGGAAAAGAAGCAGCTAGTTACCATCTGCTAAGGGTCTAACCCACTTGGAAAAAAATCTTTGAATGAGAGTTCAGGTGGCTCCAGTGCCTCAGCATAGGTCAGCATGACTGTTGACATTGGTATGACTGCTCATTGGTATGACTGCTGATCTTCAGGAGGCTTTACCTCATTCCTGCAGCAAGTCTGTATCCTCTGATGCCTGTGACTCTTCCAGAATTTACTTGCAATTGTTCCCCCTTCACATACTGAATATGTGGGGTTTGAGATGAAGAATCAGAGCAGCAGAGAGCATTTGAGATGTTGGGTAGTTTGAACATGCAGGCGTATAACACTTGAGGGGGTTTCTGTGTTCTGTTCCTTTCCTAATCATGCCTAAAATGTAATTAGGTTTTCTTGACTGTTCCTAAGCACCAAGGTGTGTTTTCATAGCAGCATACACCAAACCTGCCAGACCTTACACCTGAACAGTAGGGCTCAGGGAGGGTGGGGGAGCAGTCCGTGCCCATCACTGCAACTTGCTGACTTGCAGGACAGACCTGCTAACACACAGCTCCCAGGCAGAGGAAGGTCGCTGCTGAAGCCCAGGGCTCAGCCAAGGCCCACAACAGCTCCTGAGGCCACCACTGGCCAGCACTGCCTGTGTGGGCCCAGCGCCACAGCACGCCACCACCCACCACAACACACCATGCTACGCCACACAACGCGACGCTGGGACTGACCCACTGGCTTTGCCTGGAGCCTGCTTTCAGCTTCTCTTCCAAAAATGAGTTTGTTGTTTCTTCCCTGAAAAGTACTACCAGCAGGAGCGTAACTGTCACTGCAGTAAGACACTCCCCTGCCACCCTGCTCCAGGGGCTGGTGTGGTGGCGAGCAGTGGATGTGGTACGTTTGGCCTGGGCTCCCCGCATCAACAGTTGAGAGACTGGAGAAACCTGACAATCAGTCCCTACCCATGTGGCAACTCTGACATTGTTTGCTGGCCCACATTTGTGATGTGTACAGAAAGGTATCACCACTGCAGGACAGTTTTAGTACATCTTGGATCCACTGAAGTTACTGCACATGATCCATGGACCTGAGTGTAGTTACTCATCATTTCTGGAGGAGGAGGTCATCTTCTAGGATGTTCGTCAGTGGCTCCAAGTCTGTTGACCAAGTATTCACCATTCACTGGCTATGCTAGTGTAAAGTATCTATGCCTCTCCCCCTCAGCCCCAAGAAATTCTTTTTTGAGTCTTTTTTTAGCCTAAGAGGCATACAGTGTAAATACCAACATGTGCAGTCTGAGAATTAAGGCCAGGGAGCTGGGAACACTTAATGAAAAAAAAAAAAAAAAAGAGTAGGGTTTGGGGTTTTTTTTGGCATGACTTGCAACTATTGTTACCTGACAGAGAACACAGCATCCCAGATTTTCCTCAAAAATGAGCCTCTTGTCTTATCAGCAGGCAGATGCTCTATGGTCAGTTAAGCTGGATCAGGGGTGAGAAGTTTTTCACTTGTTTGCAGACTGGAAACCGTGGAAGAGAGAACAATGGGATCCTGGGGTACCTGATGGCAGAGAGTGAAGGTCATGCTTCACTGTCACTACAGCACTGTGTTCTGCAGAAAAGGACGCACTTTGATATGAAGTCTCTTGCACTTTGGATTGGAGGAGTAGCACATATATACCGTTAAGTATCTTTGTATTTTCTTCCCACAGTGTCTTAAATTTGTGTTGTATATGTTACACATGCATCTTTATCTCATGCAGAGTGCTGTTGTGTATTAGTCACGCATTACTATTCGGCTTAGGTTTGCACAGAATCGGCTGCCCAACTAAACTGATTTGTCCAATTATCACCCTTAAGATTCTAGATTAGCTACAGCCATCAAAAATCTTCTGTAAGAAAACAACATAATCAAATAGAGATGGGTACTTGCCTGAGGCAGGTGTGGCTTTTATTTATTTGAGTGTCCACTTAAACTCCAGACTTAACAATGATGTGGCAGCTAGATTGTACCTTTACACCAGGAAGAACCTACAAGGAGATTGGATGGTTTCTTTCAGCTGAAAAGTTTGAGCCCAAATTTCCATTCCAGAAGGGCTTGATGAATAAAAATTATCTACTTTGCCAAACACAAAATCAAAAGAGATTAGATCTCTAGGAAAGAACTACATGCAGCCTTCTGTCCTACTGTGTGGCCAGATGCAATTAAAATACTAGCATAAAACTGGGAGTGCTAGTGAAAATTTTAGTTCTCCAAATTCACATGCAGGCAACGTGGTGGAGGGTTGTAGTTGCAGTTTGTATTGTTGCAGTCTCTCTGAGCACTCTCAGATCAATAAAGCTTTTTTAAGATTGGTGGCAGCATTCATGCCCTTGCTGGGAATTCAGGGATAAACTGTGGTAGATACTAAGGGCGGTCGGGAGTGGAACATGAATTGCTCTGCTGATCCTGCACCTGTGAAATGGTGCAGAAGGAAATGGTTTGGCCAGCATAAATTAAGGCAGCTCTGAGACTCATCTAACATACCTCAGGAATTCAGCCTGCCAGCACAAAATTAGACAGTGCATAAAGCTGGCTAAACAATCTCTGTATCTTCCATGGCTTGTGAGAGTGACACAGTCGAGTGACATTCTCAGATCTCTTCAATATTAGAAAGAAAATAACAGTTTAAGTAACACTTTTTCAAAACACAGCATACACACCAGAGTATTTAATGTGTTAGCTGGTTTAGATGAATCTTTGGATCTCTTGCAGGGGAAATCATCTTTTTGTTGTGGATCTCATCCAGCAGAATGAGACCCAATTCAGACTGATTTCCTAGGAGCCACCACACACAACACTTAGGACAACATAACACTGCATTAAAAAGGTCATCACTAGTCAGAATCTCTGGAAATCTCAAAGTATAAAGACTAACACTATATGCCAAACTGTCTCAGCTTGTTCACACTGAAGATCTTTGATCTGTCTAGCTGAACTGGCCTAAAGGTTTTTGGCTTTACTTTCAAAGGAGAAATCTCATGGGCTGCCGAAGTGGGTACAACTGATACTAGTTTTCATCTTTTAAACTTGCATCAATAATTCTTTGTTCCAGTGGCCTCCCATCCATATAATGAGTATATCAAGAGGTGTTCAGTGTATATCAGTGTACTACACCTTATACAAAGGGGCATCCTGCAGCCGTGCACAAAATCAAGCCTCATGGGACTGGGAGCATGCCATGCACCATCTATGCAGTCCAACTGAGATGCTTAAGTCCCCTGTCCATTCATTCACTGAGTAAAACCTCACCTGGATATGTCACAGTAAAGATATAGAATATGAAGAGATGATGAAGTGTACGTTTGCAAGGACAAAATTTTTTTTTTCAGCATGAGACAGTGGATTCTGGTCAGCTGACTGATGCTAATGGTTTTTACAAGACACTGGAAAAGGTCAAGATCATAGTGGACATCTTCATTCTTGAAAATGTATGTTATAGTTGTTCTTTACTTCTTATGCGAGTAACTCTTTATCTGTCAACAATACCAAAGCTATTTCATAGTTTCTTAATCCAGAGAGCCCAGTCAAAGGATTGCATTCTGAATTTGGCCCACCAGAAGAAGGCAATCAACCCATAGTTCATTCCTTGCCACCCTGTTTCTTGCAGGCTGCTGAGATGGCAACCAGACACATGCCACAGGCTGGACAGATTGCTCTGGTAGCCTTCTGTGTTCCAGAAACTTCATGAGAACCTTAGTTCCTCCACTGACATGCTATTTGCTGTGCATCTCTCAAGGACAAATATGCTAGCTTTCACAGCCTCACAGAAAGGAGGTATCTGATCCTGTGTCCTGCCATATAACTTTATTCACAGGATCCTCCTTCCAGGAAACTGAGTATGTGCATTCCCTGAAGGTCTGTGTTTGCATTTGGGGACATAGGATGAAATGGTCATATGATGGAGAAGTCTTTCATAAGGGACTAAGACCAGATCCAATCCCGGTAAGGGAAGGTCAAGCCATTTCAACAATCCTCTTTGCCAGCAGATTCACCCTACCCCATCTTTGTAGAGCTGGTATGGGAGCTAATTATACTGGGTATGTGTGCTGAGAAGTCCAAGCAGGGCAGGTAGAATCAGCGGCTTACCGCTGTTGTACGACTTACAGCACAGCTACCAGCCTTCCCCTTGGGTCACCGCGAGGGTACTGATGTGTCCAT